TGCATGAAGCTGGGTGTCCAAGATCCAGATTGTGCCCTCAGATTAGATTGAATTGGAGCAGTTTCTTGGCACTGTCATGTATATGAGCATTTTGCTGGTCCAGTGCAAGTCGAGTACAGCAGGTGGCAGAAGTAATGTCCCGAGACAGATGGGAAGAAATAAAACATTACATTCATTTCAGGGACAACATGGCAACCAGCGACGACGACGACAAGCTTTTTAAAATCAGGTCAGTTATTGATTCACTTCTCCCCAAATTTCAGGCTCTCCCTCAAGACCAAATGTTGTGTGTTGATGAGCAAATGGTTCCATTCAAAGGCAGATCAGCCCTGAAACAGTTCATCCCAAAAAAGCCCCAGAAATGGGGATACAAAACGTTTGTGCTTTGCAACACAAAAGGCCTGGTGCATTCATTTGACATATTCACAGGGAAACTGATTGTGCACCAGGCCAGCCAGACATCAGAGCCACTGGGAACATTGTGCTAAAGCTTGCACAAGTTATCAGTGATCATGTCAACCACCTGCTGTACTCTGACATCTGGTTTTCCTCTTTGGATCTGTTTGTTGCTCTGGCAAACAAGGGGATACCAGCACTTGGGACTGTGCAGCAACATCGCCTGCGTGGGTGCAGTTTCAGGGCAGACTTGGAGATGAAGAAGAAGAGAAGAGGGGCATTTGAAGAGCAACTGGCTGTTGTGAATAACGTGGGCGTACGAGCAGTCAAATGGTTTGACACCGGAGGGGTGATTGTTGCCAGTGCCCAGCCCGTTTCCAACATAGAACGGTGGGATAGAAAACTGAAAAGGAACGTGTCTGTGGAATTCCCAAACATCATCAGCCTGTACAACAAGTTTATGGGTGGCGTTGACGCGCTCGATGCACTGATTGCGTTTTACCGCATCCACATCAGGTCCAAAAGGTATTATCACCGGTTGTTTTTTTCATTTTGTGGATATGGTCATTGTGAACAGCTGGTTGTTATATCGGCGTGATTATTATTATTGTTGTATAAAATATATGTTATGTTATATTGATTTAAATAAAAAAAAAAGAGCTTTTACAATATTGAATTTCCCTTCTGGGATAAATAAAGTATTTTTCAATTCATTTTCATTTTCCTTGTGAGTCAATGGGCGTTCCTAGAAAGTAGCAGAAGGATTTGCTGGTGTTCAGAGCATCCATTGCACAGGCCCTCTGCGTGGAAGGGAAGGATCTGACGAGTAAGAAACGGGGACGGCCGTCACTGCTGGATGCTGACAGGCAGTTTGAGATGAAGAAGCGT